AACCATAGAAATGAATGTAATCTAAAGGTATACAAATATATGCTTTGGTAGTTAAGTTTTTAGCTGAATACTTCTTAGCTTTCTACAATTACATACATTGAATTAGGAACAGTAGATGTTTTCCATGCAAAAGAATATACACAACATTATCTGGTGTTAACAATGACTTTCATGAAAAACCTTTGTGGTTATCTATCAAAAGGCCTCTGCATAATCTGCTTTGTGGGGTATCTACATTGGAAATGGGAAACCGAAAGATGCTCTATGACTGAGACAGTGTGTTCATAACTTTAAATTTTCATTTATAGAAAAATTAATTTTTCTTAATCCTGTCAGTCAAAATTCAGAAAATACTATGCATTAGGAAATTGATAATACATGTTCTCTCCTCTTACCTTAGAAGCAAATAAATAGAATTAAATCAGTGGAGCACAATAACAACCTAGAGATGCCAACTTACTTTTATGTTAATATCAAATGGGGCATCCTAATGCCTCCAAGACCAACTATTACCTTTATAACAACATACAACGGGAAGTCAGTCAACCTACCTCTAAAGAAAGATTATAAAAGTAATCACATAAAACTAGCAGGTTGTCTTGAAGGATAAAACACAGATCATTAATGCTTATTAATCACTTTGTATTATAAATAACCTTGCTGAGGACAGGTTGTTGAAGCATAAACATTCAAAATAGTTTAGGAACTTATTGTTAGGAAACATCAAAATCATATTAAGACAAAGGCACCTGTGCCATAATAATGCAGCTACAATCTGTAGGCAAATCAATGAAATATATACTTGTCCAAGCCATTGGTATAATTTACAAATTGTATCACCAAAATTGTTGATTTATTTAAACCTCACAATGGCATTTCTAATTCAGTTGACCTGTCATGATCTGGAACTGTCCAGTGGCAGTCCCCTTTCATTTCCCACTAAACCTCAGTTTATTGTTTCAAGCTAATCAGTTCTTGACAAAGCTGGAAAAAAATAAGATTTATGTTCTTAGAATGTATTTCTGTGCCAGCCTGGGGTACATAATGGACTGATTTAAAACATTAAAAGATAAAGAAATTGAAAAGGAAAATAAAAATGGCTGGAGGGAAAAAGCACATAGAGGGAAAGAGATCAAGAAAGGAAGAAGGAGAGAGAGAGAGACAGAGAGACAGAGAGAGAGAATAAAGAACATGTAGGTATGAAGCTTTAGGGAGAGTAGAAAATCCAATTTATATATAATGACAAGGTAGTGAGAAAACTTAATGAGAATTACAGCAAAAATCCATCCTGTCCTCTTGATGCCAACTTCATTCTATTTTTACTAGCTCACTCCAGCAACTTTAAGAACTAATAAAACACGTATTTGAGGACAGGAGCATTACCAAGCTCTTCTAGAGACACCAAAAAAGCCCTCCAAAAGAGAGATAACCTCTGGAGAGGCAATGTCTTGGTGTATAGATTGTTCAAGGGATCAGAAGGGGATATTTTGAAAATCAAGCAAATTGTGAATGTTAACAGATACTCCTGAGGGAATTTAAATGTTTAAGAGGTTCCTAGGTTTTAGACTAAAGGAATAAAATGGATATAATTGCTGTAAGAAGGAGTGGGTAAACCCCGACAAGCCTGGCCCTCATGTTACATATAATTAAATGAGAAAGCACAGGGAAGTGTTATGGGTGGTATTCTGCCCCATCTTTTCTGATCCTCTATTGAAGTCCTAACCACCAAACCCTTAAAATGTGACTGGCAATGAAACCTGTAGTGATGTTACTAAGTAAAAATGAAGCAATTATTTCATCTGCAATCTAAGGTGACTCTTGTTTTTTTATAAGTAGAAGAATATGAGGACACAGACGGAATACAGGGTAGCCATATGCAAAGAGCAAAGTCCATGTGGGGGCACACAGCACAAAGGTCAGCACCCATAAGCCACAGAGAGGGCCATTGAAGGGACTGAGCTTGTTGCATGTGCTAACCTTTCCCTGCAAGATTTTGGAAGCCATGTTGAGTAACTATGAAAAAAAAATTAGAACAGAGAAACCTTAAAGCCTCTTGACAACTTGCTAAAATTTACATATGCTTTACAAAGTAAATGGAATACATGCTTAAGTGTGCAAATATACCCTAAATTTCCATATGCCTGCTACTGTTTATATCATTTTTTCAACCCTACTCTCCCTAATTATCAATCACTCTCTTCAGTTCTTTCACAGCCTCTGTTTTAGTTGCATTTGGTGGACTCATGAGTAATACTTTGTACTGATCTTTTAGACATGGTTGACACAGGAGAAGGTCAGGAAAAGGACAAAGCTGAGTGATTTCTGGCAGAATCAATATCTCTGTTCCATGGCCAGTCCAAGAGTTCAAGCTCTCAGCTTGGCTGGCTCTGACTCCTGTTCCTATTCCCTGATCTTCCTTTCCAACCTAAACGTCTGTCATAAGCCACGTCAGCAGGACACTCTTCTGTCATGTTCTCTTTTAACATAGGATCTGAGGAACCCAAAAGCTGTCATGGCACTAAGTTGAAGGGTCTACCAGGATGAAGCAAGGAGGAAACATTATCCATTTCATTTAATCAGTGAAAAATCACCGATTGCTAATAGAGTCTTACTTCAGAATATATCTGTGACCACGCCAGAATGTTCTGGTAAGGTTCACGGGACTTGTTATTTATTGTCAGCAAAACTGCCATGAGAACCTTACTGTATTAGTCATACACCCCTGTATAGAGAGGCTAAAAAACTATTTTGCCTTGGACAGGTCCCATTGTCAACAGTTGATGATGCTGCTGACAGGATTTCTAGTGACCTTGTCTACTCTGGCTTACCTCTTACCAAACTGTCAGATAAATGAACTTTTATATAAATCCCATGTAACTATAAAATGATAGGAAGAAGCTACTTGAGGTCTTCAATGAAGAGAAAAGATAGTTGCTGAGATTTAATCATTAAATATGATAAAAATAAACAGTAAGTTAAAGGACAGGAAGAAATGCCGGTACCCAAAAGGCCCTACTGTAAGTGAAATGTCCTGCTACCAAATATTTTAAAATCAAAATTTAAATGAGCTAGTGAAGAATAGATTCCTAAATTTAAATTTTAAAGCTTAAGTGTTTCTTCAAATGATTGAATAAATTAATCTATTCAAAAAACAGGAGAAGAAAAGCCAAATAGACATTATAAATAAATAAAGGGATAATGAAGTAAAAACATAATCTACTCCATGGACGCAAGAAACACATTTGGTATAAATATAAACATGTAGGCAAAATACTCATACATATCAATTGCAATAAATAAATCTAAGAAAAATCAAAATTATTTTAATACGTTTTTGTCTAGAAATTCTTCATTTACCCTATTGAGTCTCTTATAAGATTTTAACATTGTTTTAAGAAGTGAAATTTTTTATTCAAGCAAGGCATAAAACATGTTCTATATGTGTATGGCATAAGTGTGTGTATTAATTTGTTATTAGTGCTCTGAGTCCATCTTGCTGTATCATTAGTATTATTTCTGCAGTCAACAGAATAGCAATGTTGCCTTATTTGTGAGGAAATAATTATTCATCCAGTAGCTAGAACATGAAATAACAAAAGTGATGATCTTACTGGATAAATCTACAGTCCAGGCTTGACCTTTACTTATGTATTTTGGTTTATTTCAAAATAAGAGTAAATGTAGTTTTTCCTAATATTAATGTATATGATTGTAGGCATGTTTAAGTAGCATTGTGTATGTGTAATATTTTTTTATTTTGGAGCAATTTATGTCTTTCTATGAAGACTAGACAGTCAAATCTTATATTTTCTGAAATGGTTAAGCAGAACAAGACTGATTTATAAGACTGCCAGTATCATGGTATCTCAGAATGTAATATTTTTCTCTTCTGGAAATGAATCACCTTTTGAAGTGATTGAATATTGGATGCCTTGTACAATTTTTTAGAAAATAAAATAAGAACCTAAGTTTTTAAACTGAGGAAAAGTGTAAACTATAACAAACCAGTAGAGAGTAGGGATGAATATCAGAATATTATAAAGGTAGTTCCCTTTGTTGTAAGCCAGCCCAAGAAAAAATTATCTCTTATTATAAGTGACATATACAAGACAAGGTACAATGCAACTAAGATTCTGGGTGAAGCAACTGGATACCTTATTCAGTAGGATAACCAGGGCTAAACAGTGTTTAGTTTTAGTGATTAACAAACAAGCAAAATAACAATCTCCTCAAAGATAAAAGGCCCAAATTCAACCTCCAGAAACATATTAGAAAATGAGAGATATGAAATAGCATATATGATCAAAAAATGAATCTATATTCCTGTTCTGTAGAATCCAATAGTGTATTCTGTAGCTGTGATAGTTTTAATAACTTAAAAGAATACTAATGTAATCAGAGTGTTTTAGGCCACACATTCCTTCAATAGCAAATCTTTCTTTACTAAGAACAATCATAGACTCCTAGGCAATCTTCTGGGCCATAGTTGGCTGAGGCAGCAAATATTGTTTCATAACAGACCACAGAGTCAAGAAGACATGTCTTCTATACCACAAAAACCATAGTTGAGTTTTATACACATGGGAATACATAAAGTATGACTGCTAAACTTTGAGTAATAATACTAACCCTCAAATATGAATCTTCTCATTTTTTGTTAAAAGGATTAATGACAACAAACATGAACACATTCACACATACTTTCATCTCACCTCTATGCAGTGATTGACTGTATTTACAATTTGCTAAAGAGAATGAAATTCACATAGGGATGGAAATATTTGAGTACCTAGATTGATTGTATGATATTGTTCCCTCAAAACTCTGCCAAAGTTCTACTCCCCACCACATCCTGTTGAGCTACAATGCCAAAGAGGAGAGGCAAGGACACAATGCATCCTGTTTGATCAGGAACAAGGTCATCCAGTTGGGGCTCAAAGGTGTCATTGTTCCACCAATTCTTATAGAGCCAGTTACCTTGCTTCCTCAGCACACACGTGGGAGCAACCGTAGAGCCTCTTCCAAGATGCTAGTGATCCTGCTCACAGTGGCTCTGCTGGCCCACAGCTCAGCTCAGAGACCTAATGAAGGTATGCAAATTTGGTTACAACGCTGGGGATCCTGTTTGGGGTATAGGAGACCACACAATTGTAAGGGAGACAAGAGGATTAAAGAATAAAACAAAACATGATTATAGTTTTTAAACCAAAGTAAAGACTACTTGAGTCCTTAGTCCATCCCAAGAGCCTGCAAGCATTTTAAAAATTTATTTAATTTTACATTCAATTGAAATGAACATTTCAAGTGGTGGAATGAAAATGTAAGATTTGCTCTTGTAGACAAAACTATCTGTCTGAGCTCATAAAAATATATTGAAGTTTGGGAAAATTTTGTGGCTAAGCTATGACATGACAAAAGAAACAGTTTGTAGGAAATAACGTGTTATAGACATAGTGGATACAGGAAAAATGGAGAGAACGACACATGAAGACCATTTCTGGGAAAGGGTTAAACCATTAATTTTAACAGCCAAAGTCTTGGTGATTCCCTTGGCTGTGGAGACATCCTATAGAAATGTTCTTCTACAAACCCTCGAAGCCTCATAGCACATGGCAAGAGAGGATGGCCTATACCATTGCTATTCGGATTTAAAGGCATTCCTCTGGACAACACTGTGGTGAGCCGGGAGGTTATAAATTGAGTGGCACTTTAGGAAAAAAGATAGTGTGATAAACTCTTTGAGATAAAATGTCGCTAGCCTCTCAGCTCATCTATTATTACCTTGTACCCACATAGAATTTGTGGTCGCCAACCGCAACACCCAAGAGAGGCAACCCGCTTCAGGATTCTCCCAAGAATTACGTGGTGGTCAAAACCCTGACCTTCAAGTAGAGCAGCAGCAGCAAAAAGGGGCTCGAAGGCCACTGCGACCACCACAACAGTCTCAGCAGCCTCCTCTGCAGCAGTCACAACAGCTTCAGGAGCCTCTGCAACAGTCACAACAGCCTCAGGAGCCTCTGCAGCAGCCACAACAGCCTCAGGAGCCTCAACAGCAGCCACAACAGCCTCAGGAGCCTCAGCAGCAGCAGCAGGGACAACAACTGCAACAAAATAATAGGGTCCGCCCTGGAAACCGCCCCCCACGAAGAAGATCTTAGACATCTTACCAAGGCCAGTTTCATCAGTAATCATTGTCAGGTGTGAGTTCTTTTCTGTTTGTTTCCATGACTCTCCTAAATTTCAATGTATTTACAAAAAACTAAATTTATCATTTCTTAAACTTTAAACATGTTTTGAATGTATACAGAGAGACTTGGATCTCACTTCATTTTTAATATTTAGATGTCCTGTGGTAGGAGGGAATCTGTTCTTTAAAACCTCTAGAATTTAATTTTACTTTAAGAAACTTTGTGACACAATTTTATTTTGGACCTTGACGTCCATCTAACTCTGTATTGTTTGGTAGAAAGAGCAATGTTCTCTCTAAGCTTACCTGCCTCCATGCTGAGAATCAGCAGCAGTCCATCTTATATTTCTGTCATCATTCTGTGCTTAGAACTTTCTCATGTGAGACTCAGCTCAAAAACATCATATAAGTTTCCGTGTCTACAGGTGTGTGCATGTTTGAATATAGAGTAAGTGTGCATTTTCCATGACTTGCACGTGGAGTTCAGAGAACAACCTTGGGTGTTAGTCTTCTGAACTCCAAAGGCAATATATAGATATATATTAAATATAAGAATACATATAAATCTTAAAGCATGTTGTAATTTCCTACTTTTTTACAACAGCTACTACAATTAATTCAATTGGAAAACTTATTCAAATACTTGATTTTTACAAAAATAACTATAATCACCTTTCATTAGTGTTATATTTTTATTGAGATCTGTATGTTATAGATGTATAAAAAATGTAATTCTTGAGAAATTCACATATCAGTTCATACACACACATGCACATACACATACACCCATGCATGTCTTCAGTGTTGTTTGCTCTTATTTTCAACATTTTTTTTTTAAATTTAGTTTTGTTTTTTTTGAGAATGTAAGGTATTTCATGGTGAAACTGCCACACTGTCTCTCAACTTGTGACCCGACATTTTGGATGTTTTACTATGAAAGAACATATTTCACAGACCAGTTTTGTAAATGTACCCCAGAATACACTCAGTCACAATCAAAAGACACTCATCTGAAGAAAAATCCTACTCTTTCTCATATGGAAGAGCTGAGAGCAAATACTGTGAGGGTGCAAAGCTAAAGCAAACACAAATCAATCAGAAACAAAGACAGGAACCAGCAGCAAAAGAAAAGGAGACAGATTGTCACCCACTTCATTTAAAAGATTAGAAGCTTTTTTTTCTTTTTTATATTTATTTTATTTATTTATTTATTTGGTTATTTATTTATTTATTTATTTATTTATTTATTTATTTTTGGTTTTCCGAGACAGGGTTTCTCTGTGGCTTTGGAGCCTGTCCTGGAACTAGCTCTGTAGACCAGGCTGGTCTCGAACTCACAGAGATCCGCCTGCCTCTGCCTCCCGAGTGCTGGGATTAAAGGCGTGCGCCACCATCGCCCGGCTTTTATTTTATTATTATTATTATTATTAAAAATTTCTACCTCCTCCCCACCTCCCATTTCCTTCCCCCTGCCCCCACTCCCCTCCCCCTCCCTCTCCAGTCCAAAGAGCAGTCAGGGTTCCCTGCCCTGTGGGAAGTCCAAGACTTTATAAGCTTTTTTTGTCTGTTTCTTTCAGAAAGTGAATGAAAAGATCCTGAGCTAAGAAGACAACATCCTTAGAAGATTATGACATAGGAGCAATGTAATTATATCTTTATCTTCACTCTACCAATAAAATGATGAGCATACAACTTCTGACTGCTGCCTCTCTCTTTGGGTGTGGGAGAATAGAGGGCCTTGGGCTCAGCTTAAGAACGCGTAGGACAAGACAGGCAGTGGTGATGATGCCTTTAATTCCAGCACCCAGGAGGCAGAGGCAGGTGGATCTCTGAGTTCGAGGCCAACCTGTTCTACAAGAGCTAGTTCCAGGACAGATTGTAAAAATAAAAATAAAAATAAAAAAAAACCTTGTCTCGAAAAACCAAAAAAAAAAAAAAAAAAAAGAAAAATCGAACACATAGGACACTATCTCATAGATACTTCCTGCTCCCCTTCACCCTTTATTAGCTGCTTGATGAAAAAAAAATGCAACTGGATTTTTAAGACAGAAGACAAATTTTAAATGTTTTAAATGAATTTTCAGCTGTTTTTTTTTTTTTTAAAGAAAAGTAAAAAATACAGAATAAAAAGTGAGGAAATTTTAGAGGGAGAGAAATTTTTTAAGAGATTTTTCAAAATAATTGATTTCATTTTCTTGAGATTATAATGAGTTTGATGCATGGGATTCTTAGACTCCATTAGAGTCCTGACTGTTTTCTTTATGTTTGCAATATTGTCTTCATCATATAACAACTAATTTTAATAACCAGGTAGATTTCATAAAACAGATAAAAGAGTAGATTTTATGAAATAAATCTCTCATAAATTATTCTAAGTTCTACTGTCTTTGTTTTTTGTTTTGTTTTGTTTTTTTTTTATTATTATTATTATTTTTTTTTTTGCCCCTTTGTTTCTTGAGACATGGTCTCTATATGTAGTCCTAGCTGTCCTGGAATTTGCTGTGCAGATCAGGCTGGCCTTAAACTCAAAGAGATCCACCTTCCTCCTTAGTGGTGTTAGGATTAAGAACTGCATAATCAGGCTCAGCTTCTATTTTTATTGCTAGTGCTGAACCCCCAGCATGCTAAAGCATTGGTTGTAATTGTAAGTGATAATAATATAATGAGAGAGATTAGCCAATTAGAAATTTCACACAGCTTCTGAGACACCTGTGTATTAGTTGTTTTTTTTTTTTCCTTTTTGAGTTAAAAAGAACACCTCATGTTTTTTTTTTAATTTATTTTTCTTTTATTGAAAAAAATTTCTGCCTCCTCCCCTCTTCCTATTTTCCTCCCCGTTCCCCCACTCCTCTCCCCCTCCCCCTACTCCTCTTCCCTTCCCCCCACTCGTTTCCCCCTCCCTCTCCAGTCTGAAGAGAAATCAGGGTTCCCTGCCCTGTGGGAAGTCCAAGGTCCTCCTCCCTCCATCCATGTCTAGGAAGGTGAGCATCGAAACAGGTTAGGCTCCCACAAAGCCAGTTCATGCAGTAGGATCAAAACCCAGTGCCATTGTCCTTGGCTTCTCATCAGCCCTCATTGTCCACCATGTTCAGAAAGTCCGTTTTTTTCCCATGCCTTTTTAGTCCCAGTCCAGCTGGCCTTGGTGAGCTCCCACTAGATCAGCCCCACTGTCTCAGTGGGTGGGTGCACCCCTCGCGTCCTGACTTCCTTGCTCATGTTCTCCCTCCTTCTGCTCCTCATTTGGACCTTGGGAGCTCAGTCCAGTGCTCCAGTGTGGGTCTTTGTCTCTATCTCCAACCATTGCCAGATGAAGGTTCTATGGTGATATGCAAGATATTCATCAGTATGGCTATAGTATAGGGCCATTTCAGGTTCCCTCTCCTCAGCTGCCCAAGGAACTAACTGGAGACATCTCCCTGGACACCTAGGAGCCCCTCTAGAAATAAGTCTCTTGCCAACCCTAAGATGGCTCCCTTAATTAGGATATATACTTCCCTGCTCCCATATCCCCCCTTCCTGTACATTATTTGGCTACCATTCTACAGTATTTTTCTTTCTGTAGTTTCCAGATGAAAAGTCAGAGAAGTCTTGCATGGCAACCTTAGATCAGTTTTCAGCTGGTTTGGCTCCTTGTGACAGGAAGTAAATTCTACAGGCAAGCCACTCTACCTTTTGTTGATACCTGGGTTTGGCACTTACTCTGCACTTAATAAATATTTGTTCAATACTAAAGGAATTAGAGAGACTTCACAATTCTGACTGGGCTTAGAAATGTTAATCATCCCCCTTTCATTACAAATTGGTGTGGTTATTTTTTTCTTTTATTTATTTATTTATTATTACTTTATAAATAATACCAATCAAAATTTCCACTTCCTCCTCTCCTCCCACTTCCCTCCCACTCCCCTTCCCCCTCCAGTCCTAAAAGAGGGCAAAGTATCCTGCACTGTGGGAAGTCCAAGACCCTCCCCCTCCATCCAGGCTTAGGAAGGTATGCATCCAGATAGAATAGGATCTCAAAAAGTCAGTACACGCAGTAGAGACAAATCCCAGGGCCATTATCATTGGCTTCTCAGTCTGCCCAATTGTCAGTCACACTCAGAGGGTCCAGTTTGTTCCCATGCTCTTTCAATACCAGTCCAGTAGGATTTGGTGAGCTCCCATTTGCTCAGGAACACTGTCTCAGTGGGTGGACCAACCCCTTGTGAGATTGGTCAATAATTTTCTTTCTTGGTTGAGTCTTTGTGTGACTGTAGCTTTATTAAAAGCGTTTGGCTATGACACTTCTGTTTTATTATTTGGAACACATTAAGGACTATAGGAATTAACTCTTCTTGGAAGTTCTTGTAGAATTATGTACTACAACAATCTGGCCCTTGGAGTTTCTGGCTATGACTCAATGGTTTCCCTCTTACTCTACCCTTCTTCCTCCTATAATTTAGGTTAGTTTTCTCTGCTTAGCTAATTTCTGCACTCCTATAGGTCTAAAGCAATTTCTTTATTCATTAATGATAATCATAGCATACAGAAGGAAATCTCACAATACCTTCCCTTTTCTTTTTAAAAAAGGTTTTTAACATTAACATAGTAAAATTAAATATAACAAAACAGGTATGAAGCAAGAATTACAAGTATTTATATCTACTCTATTTTTAATCATAACTAAGAAAAACTATAATTATAACTATAAAATTCTCAACTTAATCAACAACTCCAGGAGGATATTATATTACCTAAGTAAACAGAAAGTGCATTGTAAACAACTCCAAAACTCTAGAATTGATAGAGACATTTCACTGTCTGGACAGTCACCCAAAGGATTTCTATACTTTTGGGGCATATATCTTCAGCCTACAGGTCCAGAGTATCCAGCAGACATTTCCATGAAGCAGGAAATTTCAGACGGTTCTGCTTATATTGTCAGTTTGTCAGTCTCTTTCTTCTGTGTCCTACAGAATGTCTGGCAGACTCTTTAATGAAGCAGGAACCCCAAAGGATCTTCTCACCTTTAGACAAGCTCAGCAGTCATTTCTCTGCAAGTCCTGCATGTCCAGTTTATAAAGCATTCCAGGCAAGTGCAGTTGCTTACCCAAATAGCTATCATTCTCCATGAAAAACCTCTTCAATGCCTATCTTCTTGCAGTATCTTTGTGTTGCCAGGAGCAGATGTGTCTCATTGTCATGAAAAGTCCTAAGTTCTTAAAATATTTTAAATGATATATTCTTTAGTCTTTGAAAGGTTTGAAGAATGCCTATTCATCTGAAATACATCTCTGTACAACGAGAAAATCTAACAAACATCACTACATGCTTGACTATTATAGACGATTATTGATTAACCTGTACTTTTTAATTACACATTACATTTTTAAATGAGCTGACCAACAATACCTTAATCAAGAGCAGAAATATACATATACATAGTTTAACAAAATTTACCATAAATTTGTATCACTAAACCAAGATCCATAAAATACAAATCTTTATAGCATATCTCTTGTGAGGAGCAGCAGCAGGCTGTGTCCCGCCTCCTGGCTAGCTTTATAACTGAAAGAATTACACAGAAACTGTATTCTTTTAAACACTGCCTGGCCCATTAGTTCCAGCCTCTTATTGGCTAGCTCTTACATATTGATCTAACCCATTTCTAATAATCTGTGTAGCCCACGAGGTGGCTTACCAGGGAAGATCTTAACCTGTGGCTGTGTCGGGTGGGAGAATCATGGCGACTGCCTGACTCAGCTTCTTTCTCCCAGCATTCTGTTCCATCTACTCCGCCTACCTAATTTTCTGTCCTATCAAAGGGCTAAGGCAGTTTTTTAACCAATGAAATCAACACAAAACAGAAGATTCCCATATCATTTCCCCTTTTCTGTTTAAACAAAAAAGAAAGGCTTTAACTTTAACATAGTAAGATTACATATAACTCAAGAACACAATATTTATATTTATTTTATCCTTTATCATAACTAAGGAAAACTATAACTCTCTATCCATTCTTCAACTCCATCAAAGACTCCAGAAGGATATAATATTACCTAAGTAAACAAGAACTAAGCAACTTCAAACTCTAGAAATGACAGAGAAATCTCGCTGCCTGGTCACCCAAAGTTCCTCTGGACTGTTGGGGCATCTATCTTCAGCATACAGGCCATAGTATCCAGCAGACATTTCAATGAAACAGGAAATTTCAAAGACAGTTCAGTCGCTATCTGCTGTGTCCTGCAGAATGTCTTGCAGACTCTTTCATGAATCAGGAACCCCAAAAGACCATCTCACCTTTAGGCAAGTACAGCAGTCCTCTTTCTGTGGGTTCTCTGTGTCCAGTTTATGCAACAGTCCAGGCAAGAGCAGTTTCTTGCCCAAACGACTATCAAACTCCATAAGGAGCCTCTTCAATGACATCTTCCTCTTGAAGTAGATTGGTGATGCCAGGAGCAGAGTGTCTCATTGTCATGAAAAGCCCTAAGTTATTAAAACATTAAGTGCCATATTCTGCAGTCTTTGAAAGATATGAATAATGCCTACTTAACTGAAATATATCTCTATATACCTACAGAATCTAACTAACATGACTACAAGCTTTACTATTATTGATGATTATCCATTAGCAACCTATATTTTCTAATTATACATTATTTTTAAATGAACTACACAACCACACACCTTAATCAAGATCAGAAAT